CGGCATTCATTGATTGTGGTCGGCGTGTCGATGCCCTATATTATTGTACTCTTTCAAGTTCATTGAGTCATACAATGGACATATAATTGGTCGTTAGCGTATGTCAAAACACGTCGTCGGTTCATAATAGTTTACATAATTAGGTTCGTTTGCATAAGCGATTATTATGCGTGTCTTCGCTAGTGACGTAGCGCACTATGGCTAATTCATTCATTTGTTTATGAGTTTACTATTACTTTTAGAGCACGTGGTCGATTGTTTACGATACGGATGGTAATTTAACGGCGACCGCGTAATAAAGGCAGTCATTATGAGATGTGCACGTACAGCGTACAGGTACGGACGCATCACGCTCAATGTGTTTTTGTGCAAATAATAAAAGTTTATTTACAATTCTACGTGTAGAAACGGAAATTTATTTTTTTCTTTTCGTAATGCTAAAATGTTGACTGCCTTAACTTCATAGAAATGTTATAGAATTCCCAACTACTGCAGATTTGTTTGTTTTAAATAATTCAAAGTATTTGGAAGCCTGTACCAATACGACCTTTAAGAAATTACATACACGCGTCACGCATAATTTAAAATAATAAATATTTAACTACAATGTTCAGTAAGTAGAAACAAACGTGTATTGAATCAATATTATTAATCCTAAGATCAGATAAACGGTGATAAGATTCATATCGTGTAAACATTATGTTAAGTTGATTACTACTTTGTTACATCACCAAAATTGAAAATGTATTTGGGTTCTTAAGAAGATGTACAGATTTAAGGAATAATAAAGGTCGTGTTTTTCTAAAATACGGGAATGCGAAGTCCTAGTAGGAAAAGTAGCTGTGGCTTCTTTTCCCTAGACTTCCCAAATATTTTCGTTCAGCTTAAATTAGGACTTTAAAAAACATATTTTGAGACTTAAGTCATGAAAATTACATAAATAATTAATAGTAATTATGTTATAGGAATTGAATAATAAATAAATCTTCTATCAGTCATATTTAACAATTTCTAACTATTATATAATAATAACTTTTCTTAATTAACTTATAATTCACGTTTCAATTCATAGCAGTAATTTGATTTAATTTATGTTTCATAGACGCGTAATTCAGTGGTTTTTGATAATAATAAAAGCGTTTCATTGATTACTATCGCTGATAAAGTGTCAAGTCACAATGACATAGCTACTCTCCGAGCAAAGATGCCTGTGTGATACTGTTTATAAATTCTTTATCAGTTTTATCAATAAACATTGTAACACATAATTTTAAATGATAAATCTCGTGTCAAAGTATATATCAATATCTGTTTTATATTTATTAAATGATGATGCACATGTATACTGAATGCCTATTTATAGAAGAACCCGTTTTGCCCGTTTCATCCACGTTATAGCTGCAACAAAAATAGCCTGTCCGTCTCCATTTTAAACTTATGTGGAAATAATAATGAATTCTGGTAGATTCGCCTACAACAGCAAATTTACTTCGATCTAAGCAATTTCCAGGGTGATCGTACGAGGCTGGACCCGTAGTAGCAAACGACCCATTACGTGGGCATTGGGTCCCTTGCTACTATACGTCAATCATGTAGAGATCAACAGATGGATGGAGTTAGTCCTTAGCGCCATCATAAGGACTGACTTCCTCCATCAAGCCTTTTTTGAATGAATATGGAATGGTGCACCTACCTGCACTAACGGTATTATAATTCTGATGGGGCACCAATGAAAGATGTAAGAATAAAGTCAATTAACCCGAATTGTTCGAATTGTAGCGAATTCTCCAGAATTAACCACAATGATTTTCAAGGGGAACGCGTGGAGGTCGATCTTGTTACATTGTTAGCAACTAATCACATTGGGGGAAGGGGATTTTTAGTAATGTGGAATAATCAACCCATTGCTAGCATGTCAGGTTGACCTCCACGCAGGTTCCCTTGGAAATGGTATCCGTGATAAATTCCTGTTGAATTTGCCACTATGGGCTAACGGACCTGACCTCATACTCATTTTACTATTCCCCACTGGTGCCTCTTTTTTAAAAACATTAGCGCAGACGAGTACATCATTCCATAATCATACATTTAAAAAAACTAGTCCCACGTTTCTATAACATTAAAAAACTTACAATCGAACGACCGAGCTACCTGTATACTATCTAATATCATGTAAATGAGTAACGATCGGTCAAAAACACTGCATCTCAGAACAATAGTACTTGTATATGATAGTCACTTGTAAACCGAAGATCTTATTACTAAACTCATAAAGTTCAAAACCGTAAGAACTTCCATAAATGTTTATTTGAAGAGTTCATCGTACTATCGAAAACCTGGTTTTACTAATATCTATTGCTAATAATGTTTATTGTAATTTATGATACGTTATCATATAACGTGGTATTATATAACGACCGGATACCGGAAGTAGTAATAGTACTAGCAGATAACGTGTCTGTCAATATTGTTTTGATACTCGATCAGCTGTTGGTACGTCATGTCTGTATATTGCCTATATGCGGGTATCTATGCAGTTCGGTTCCACGTAACGGCAACAAGTTGCATTCCTCGATGCACCCTTCCACACCCCCGTCCTACAACCCACTCTCGTACTCGTACTCGTACCCAGTGATATTTCATGTTACGTTATATTTATGTTTCACGTAGCTTTCTAAAGTTAACTTTGTTTACGACATTTTTGTTTTTTTCTATAAGTAGGTACTAATGTGTTATATTTTTACGTTTTTGTAGACTTTTTGACTTGCGTAGTCCACTAGTTTCTAGACTAATTTCTTATGCATACATTTTAGTTAATCCCTGTGTTTTTGAGAATGTTATAAATATCCAAGATTGTACAATTTATTGTATTTTTATGTTTTTAGATACTTGTTATTCAACCATATTAAACAGTATGAATAGAGTAATTGAAAAAAATGTAAAAGAAATTTAGAAACTACTACATAGGTTTTGAACCTTTTATCCTATTCACACGGCCAACGCCGCAGGTAGGCGCTAGTAGTAAATTAAACTGTTTTGTAAGACTGTAAACAGTGACAGTAAGAATCGGTCAGGAATTCGGGACAGCGGCGACTTTAATTGAATCGAAAATAACTGCACACAGTTTGCTCAAAATTCAATTCTAATAATGGTAGGTTGTGTAATAAGTGCCTACCAACTTTATACCAATATTTTTACTTTCAAATCAAATAAATTACCCACTTTAGTCACGAATCGCTATTAAATGGTTAAAAAATTAATGAAATGGCTGATTAATAAGTGTTTAATACTTATTGAAAGATTATATGAAAATGGATAATATTGTATCAATTGTAAAGATATAATGCAGTATTGCCATACATGGAATATTACGAATACTTCAAACAAAATCACCATCCACAAGATACATCAATAACTAGATAGTTTATAAGACCTTTTCCATAGTGTCCATATTTATAAGAAATGTACATATTTTTAAAAGTATTAAGTGTTCAACCCTCTATCGTGCTTAACTAAGCTTCTATAGATAGTACCGTCATTAACTAAGCAGCACATAGCAAGAACCTAATCAAATGCTGGAAATTACACAGTTGATGGATTAAAGGTTCCAGCTAGGACAAAAAAGACGAGCCAAAGAGTGGAGTGGCCATTGGCGATCCGAATCGAGAAGTAAATCTCTATAAGAGCCGAGGAGGCGGTGCTGGGCGGGGCGCCCCAACAGTCACCATAGCAACGCACCCCTCGCCAGCTCCCAACAACTCTCGCATATGATCTCCAACTACTCTCACACCTCGCTACATCCATCCAATAGAGCTATCCAGCTCCAGAAGAATTAAAAACAATGCCGAAATATAAATACGAGACCGTAATAGCGTATAGAAAGTAAAGTGTGTTCAGTGTGCGCAGCGCTGCGAGCCAAGTCGCCGATAATTAATGTGGAGTCGAGCGAACGGGCGCCGCTCCGGCAGCCTCGCGCCGCACCGACAAAAAACCCGCTCCGACACAAAAACACCCGTCGCCGGAGCGAGACAGCCGCACGAGTGCGAGCGGGACGCAGCGCCGCATGTATTTCTGTGAGGAGTTCTCGCTCGCCTCGAGCGTCGCCGTCGCACAGTTATCGAGATTCCGAATACCGCGCTTTGATTTAAAACCAGCCGAATGCGCCCTTCTATCTATCACATGGTGTTTGACAGGTCGGCGGAAACGCACCGAGCTGTCAGATCAGAAAAAAGGCGCGCATCTTTAACCGCGAAACAACAAATCGAAAACAACATAAACTATGAAGCCTATTATAAAACCAATTAATAAAAGTATGATGAAATTGTTATTATTGCAAATGATAGATGTTTATTAGACATCATATAGTTCAATACAGTCAGGGTACAAAACTCTTTGACGTCAAAATAAGAAAATACTCGAGAACTAATAATTGTATGAAATCCTAAAATTTTTCATTATAGTAAATGCATGCACTTAGGCAAAGATTATATATATCAAATATCCCCAGCATTTCTTTAGTCATACGAAAAATAGCAAAATAGAACAGAATTATTGTAACTTTATAAGCTATAGAACTTATTGTGATATTCTTGTCCTCTCTATGATTGAGTACCAAGAAGTTGTTAAGGCTGTCTATACAACAAGATATTTTGCTGGCAAATAACTGATCAAACTCGTGTATTTAATTTTGAGGGCAGTCAGCATTCTTTGTTAGGTCTGGATTATTTAGCTCCTTGGAAAAGTACCGACACGTTACACAAAATCTAAAAGTTGCGAAATCATTTTACGTGAAAATGTATAAAATTCAACGGACCTACGTTTATAGGTCTTACAATTACATTTCGAGTTCCAAAACAACAATTTTTTTATCAAAAACTTATTAATGGAAGTATGAAACACTCAACACGAAGTTGACTTGTAAAATTTTATGGAAACTGGAATACATTTGCAAGACCATGTTTAGATAGAACACAATGAAACAATGCAATAGGTAAACTTACCTGGAAATCACTCCACATTTTCATGGGGATACACCATAGTTCCGATACGAAAACATCACACGATCACGATAACAACTGTCAAGTGTCACAGCGGCGTCACAGTCACGTACACATCAATCGGAGGGCGGTCGCAGACTAAAGCGAATGGCGCGGCTAGCGCGGCAGCAGCGCGGCTGGCGTGCGGCTCTTACGCCGTTCCGGCTCTACAACACTCTGTTCGGTGGCGTTCGGGCTCGCTCGGCGGCCCTCGGCCCGGCCGCAGCGCCCACCTGCGACTCGCTTCCACGAACAACAAAACTGAACCGAGGCGACTCCACTGAGCGCCCAGCACAATGCCTTCCATCTACCCGTTGCCTTGTGGAAATACCCGTATTTCAGCTCGCCAGTAAAGTTGCCTTGCCAGTGCTATGACAATTTTAACTAATCTATAAATGGAAATTGTATGAGATCTAATATAATTTTCATTTTGACATTTACCCGAACAACGCAATGATTAGTTAAATAAGAAAATTTAGAAAACTTTTATAAATAATGATTTTTATAAATTTTGATTTAAATACTGCAGTATATCTCAGTAAAGTCCGAATTATAAAACTGAATGCCTAAAATTATAAGTATACTGAGTTTTCATACAAAATCGTAGTGAGTAAATATCTATACCGTATAATCTTATCAGATACACTTATAGGCACTGCACGATGGCATATCTTATTCTAACGAATGATAACAAGAACATTGATTGAAACCTAACGTTCGCACATAACAGTTCAAGTTTTCAGTTCACTGATAACAGAAAGTGACAAATAAAAAAGCTGAGCTAAACAAAGTTTTGAGTGCGCAGCGCTACGGACGACGTAGCAGGAAGTTCGTAGCAGTAAAACTTCGTAGCGCTCTCGTAGCGTGAAAGTTTTGATTTCAACGATTTGCGTTGCGGCAAAGAGAGGACCGCGAGGCCACACTAGCTGCGCGACCCTGCGCCCCGCACCACCTACATCCACCCACCGCGCGCCCCACGCACGCATTACTACTTTGCGCACCATTGCGCCTCCGTCGTACAAATACTCCTATCTTATCCATAGCAACTCGCCGATGTACGTTGTATAAAATGTTCAATCAACAAACATAGGTCTTTAGATTTATCCGTTCGTTTATCTCTCACGAGAGTGCGCCACTTGGCTGTCGAGCGACTACGCCCTTACCGTGTTTCGGTGCGTTTTGCAAATCATTTCTTTACAAAAAGATCGTCGTTCGGACGCTTTCCATTCCACGTGCAGTTAACATGAAATGGTCTGGCCGGTCTCAGATCGCAGCAATGGGGCGTGTGGCGATCGATATTGTAGCTCGTTGTTTCGCCGCGCCGGAAAATTCATTCGGCGGTAATTTTAAATACGGTATATTAATACCGCTGTATAATGGTAGGTTAATACTACATAATTAAATTCTAGATTCAAAATACAATTAAATCCAAAGAATATTTACTCGTTTTTCTCGTCGGCTAATATCAGTATGGAATCATGCTTCTCGGCATGACTGAGCTGAATTTGATTTCTGCAGTGGGCGAACATGCGCTAAATCAAAATAAAATAAAAATTGCATGACTTAACCCTTCTTGGTTTTTTTATTTCATTTTAATGGATGGTACACCTGCCTGTCCTAACGATTTACGTTGGCGGTGGCTGGCTGCTACTAGTGGAGGATGATAAGATGAGCATAAGGTGGTTTGATGAGGTGAGAAAATGCACCTGAAATTTATCACCATGGTTACCAGGGGCAACCGCGTGAAGATTCGCCTGACATGGTAGATTGCTAGCAATGGGATTTATTAGTCGCCACCACTAACAATCCCCTTCACCAATCTTTCTTGTTTGATAAGACCTCTTGAAGAACAAAAATCGATCAGTAGTGACTGTATGTAAAATTTCTTGGAACTTACATAAGAAAACAGCAGTGGTAACAAAATTAAGATGGAACCAGCATTGAAGGCAATCCTAATAATAGCAAAAACATCAGGATAGAACTTTTTTATAGCATAGATACGATATGGGGTCCTTGAATTCCAGTTGGAACGTGCGTGAAATTATAGTGAAATTACAGGGTATTAAGGCATGACACATTAGTCCCCCGAAATAATAATTAAATCAAAACAAAATATCTTTATTTTTGTTTGTAGACCTAACAAACAAACTCAAATCTAACGTCAGTTAGGAATGCTTTCGAGATGAGAACAACTGACAAGAAACTCAACAAAAAATACAGATACAAAAATACAGATTCATCTTCAAATTTGGAAGAATAGAGTGACACCACCATATGCTATTACAATTTTATCAAAAGCAAATAGTGTAATAAGTGTTCGTAACCCGAACAGACCAGTCCCCTCAAGCAGCACCCGTTCACGAGTTTGACGGATTTCACAGTGGCACCAGATACTTCAGGTCATCATGATATGATGACGTAGCTATCAATGTCAGGTGAGTCGTCGGTTTACCATTCCTGTTTTATAAAAAATATATAAATATAGATTTACTGTATAACCGCGTAATGTATTGCTGTTGAATCATTCACAGTAGAAGCCTACGCAAATCACGGGTATTCGCTAGTGTTAATGAAGTAAGAAAATAAACAAAGAAATGCAGACAGATATGTTGGGCACAGTAACACGATGTTTACAAATTACCTATTAAATATCTATTTCTATCGTAATTGTAAAGCAACAACAGTCTATCATTAGAAATGGCTATCTCTATCCTTATTGTACTAAATTCAATAAAGTTTAAATAAATAAATTCATTACAAATAAACAAACAGTTAATACACTTCCATATTATAGTATTAGTATGGATGAAACTACATTTGTTTGTAACCTATTAATGCCATTCTGATTAAACCATAGATACGAGTACATAATATCGCCACGACTGTCTCCCATAGCGTTAGGCAGAGACAATGGAACACCAAATGTTTTTTTTTGTAATGAATACAGGACGAAAATATCTCAATTTACATGTAACTGTGCATGCTATTAAAACACTAAACTAGTTTAGGTGATGTCACGAAAAGTATTTATTAATAGCACGCTTCTAAATCAAACCTTTTCGAAAATAATGTAATACTGTTCTAAAATTTAATACCTAACACTAAAATTATTTAGATTACGCGGTGGCTTAGTGGTTTTACTATACCGACTCTAAAGCTTGAACAGACAGTACAAAGCTGGGTGATTAAAAAAGGAAATTTTAATAAATAATTGAACACACATTAATACAATATTTTACTCCCCATTAATAAATAGAAACAGCATTAATAGAGCCCAATTTTATGACATTTAAGTTCGGTAGGATCGCCTATTATATTATATACCTACACAATCTAAATATATTAATGAAATTAACAAATCAAAACAACGTCCACATTTTATATTTCATCTGACTATCCCATCTGTGATTAAAGCTGTGAAATTATAATATCTATTTATACACAATTGAAATAATTTAATAAATGTAAATTATCACTGTTTATAGTAAGAGTCTCGAAGTTGGTCGACGTTGGACAACTAATAGCTGAAAAATAAAATTGTTTGTACTATAATCTCTATTTGGGAAACCTGTTTCTTTATATGTATTCCATATTATTATTTAAAAAGGTGTGTATGTAAGAGCATAGATGTCTACTTGTAGGTATATGGACTAGTATCAAAGCAACTTTAATTACAACCGCATAAAGTTGTTTATCTCGTACAGCCACGTCGCACTAGCGATGCGATATCGGTTTGATTTGTAATATACACACGGTAAAAACATCTCTAATTCATTAACATTAAGTCACAGTATTGAGTAAATGGTTTTATAGCATCAGTTTGCTTTATACAAAACTGAATCGGACTAATTGAGGGATTCTAAGGATGCTGACACAACTTAATTGTCAATGTCAAAATTAATAAGTACATATTAAATACTAGATGATCTCGGTGGTCTAGCGGTTTAGCACACTGCCTTACTATGGTCATGGGTTTAATTCCCATACAATACAGACATTTGAATTTGTATTGACATGCAATAGGCAAGACATAATTTATTATGTATTAAAAAAGTTATTGTGTTTACGTGATTTCTAATGCCCATAGTACAAATTCTACTTAGTTTAAAAATAGATGGCGCTATGTGAGTTGTCCAAGTATATTAATTTATCGTTACGATAGGTTTAAAATATTGTAGGGTATATACATACAGAAGTGGTCTCCTCATTACTTCAGTGACATTGCAATGTTACCTCGAGTTCAACAAACTTAATGACGTTATGGACCGGCTTGACTTTGGCATAAGAATAGGAGTTTCTTGTTATTTTAGTTTTAAACTAGGTAGTTAAAAATTCAGCTTTGAATACGTTTTTCTAGTCACTGTCACATTTGTATGACAAAACTCAGTATATAAGTTTGCATACTAGAAAACAAATGAAAATTTAAATGTTATTATGAATAAAATTTAAGACTATATATGGTATTGTACAGAAAATCAATATTAATTGTATTTAAAAAAAATTAAGAATACTAGTATTTCAAGAGTAGAATACCGAGGGTTTATATAAATATTATACACCGGCATTTATTTTCTTATTAATTGATTTAAAAGTTGGTATGAATTAATGTGAAATAAAAAATTCTTATTAGAAATGTTTACGGTACTTTTACCTTTAGATAATTATATCTTTGTTTACACCAAATCCATATAAGAAGTTATCGCAAAACTAAAGGCCCACCCCGACACTGCCCGGATACACGTCTTCTTAGAATAATGTTCCTTTTAAATCGAAAGAAATCTTCAGGTGGTCCCAGAATTTTTTTTTGTCATAATAAAAAACTCTCTCTCACTCTTTAGAATATTAGTATAAATTTCATAATAATAAATATGCCTAGGAAAAGTTGTTAATTTTTAAACTAATCATTATTCTGAACCTTGACGTTTTCATTTTCCTGTGGTATTATTATGTCACGAAATATAAATTTTAATACAAAAATGTAGAGTAATATCGAAAATTTAATTTATGTTATAATATAAATAAAATAAATTTATATTAGATATTTAAATAACAGAGGAAGGTAGACTGTAAAAAGTTGTCTGCCGGAGTACCTCAATCTCAATTATTTCAGACGTCAGCACCTTGCTTTGTCTAATCGCATTTTATAACCTAAAGATAAGCTATTTTTCTGTTATAGGATGCGATTAAACACTGAAATTTCAGAATAACGG